GTTGATGGTGTAACTATTGCTGAAGTTGAGACTGTTGTTGATGGTGTGACTATTGGTGATGTTGAAAGTGTTGTTGATGATGTAATTATTGCTGATGTTGAAACTGTAGCTGATACTGTAACTGAATTTGCGATTGATGTTGAAGCTGATTGTATAGTTGTTGGGTTATCTAATAGTGAGAAAAGATAGAATATAATATTTATTTAAAAAATAGTTAATACATTAGAGAGAACAAATAACAATATATATTGTGTTTAATAGTTATTTCATAATTGATATTTTTAAATAAGTCTTCTTAATAGTTTTTCTTTAAATATGATAAATGTCTTCAATTATCGATCTTGTGTAACACTATTCTATGATTTCTAATTGAATGTTTGATTATGACCTATTTATGCATATGAATACTTTAAATTTTTTAATATAATAGCAAATATACGAAATATTATTGGAAAAGAGAAAATGAATACTTTCATTTGTATTTGACGTTGATTACAATTTTAACATAGTTATAATTTTACTTCTCTTTACTCTCTAGTACTAATAAATTACAATTTTCTTTTTAGTCGAGTTATTAATAAAATCTAATATTAGAATGAAGAATAAAATTTTTGTAATAAAGATTTTTCATAGAATTGTATCTTATCTAAAAGATCCTAAATCGAATTTTTATTTGAGCTGATAATCTAATTTTTATGTTTTCTCATACTATATATTTGTATACGAAATGCAGAAATTTGCAATCAATTTAAGTTTAAGTTAAGCTAATTGAACAACTATCATTGCATTGTCGAGTATAATAATATTAAATAAAATAGAAAAAAGTAAAAACTTCTTATTAAAATATTCAGAAGAAATTTTCAACATAGAAAGAAAAGAATATTTAATTAAATATTAAGAGTGCCTTATCACCATTATATTATTACTTTTTCTTTTTTCAATTTAGTGTGAATTATAAGGCATACAAGTCACTAAGGATGTATGTTATAAATAGTGATTAGTATGTCTTATGATCCACACTAAATTGAAAAAAGAAAAAGTAACGATAATAAGGCATCCCTATTAAATATTCGAAAAAAACAAAATTTCTGAATTCCATCTGTCGAGTCACTTAGAAGAAATACAAAGATATTGATTTACTAAAAATGAATGTCACTTGTCAATAGTATTAAAAACAACTGATTATGAAATAAAACTAATTATTTTTCTGAACATAAATTCGAATATATCGTGATATTATCTCTTTAAATACTTTCGTTGAAAAGATAACACTTCCTGTAATCTTATTTATCTCATATAAAATTCAATTTTAATATTTATCACTCAAAATATTCTATAAACATATTTATCTGTATAGTTCCTATACGTTTTACACATATCAACACTATATCCATCATTCTATCTAATAGATTATATTCATATCATATAAGTAGGAGTATTTAATTTTTAAGTGACATATAACATTATAACACAATCATTTTATAGAAGATATGTATACACACTAATTGTAATTTATAATATATTTTCTTATCATAGAATCTTGTTAATCTTAATTAGATGTTTCAAATTATAAACAAAACATCAACTAAATACTATATACTGGAATTATTTCGATAACTTTTTAACTGAATATACATCATGAAAAAAATTCATTACTTCATTATATTATTTTCTATTCATTTGATATCGTTAAAGTGCGTTGCTATAAACGCTTAGCTACATCCTATTACTATAGTTTTATACAATATTTTTACATGTTAAAACAATTTTGTTTTTCTAAACTAGTTGACAGTTACTCTTTAATTAAAATAAATAAACTTAAGTCATGTTTAAAATCTATATTCTATATGCGACAAAAGTTAACACATCTGATATTTGTAAAGTTTATTTCTCATATAAACTTTTATTTCTAGTTACTTATTCTTTTCAAATAATTTTCTACTCACTTGTTGATGTTGTAAGACTATTGGTAGTTAGTGGAACAGCCATTGTTGTGCCTATAACAAAAAACACATGATCATATAATTTAGATATTTCTTTTTTGAATGAATGTATTTCATCTTACTTTGTGATGTAGCTACAATTAATGTTGAGCTAGTTAATACTGATGTTGCTGATGATGACGTCGTATTTGGTGCTAGAAGACATAAAATAAAAACATATGATTAAGGAAAATAAATTGTGAGTAAAAACCTTCTGTTCTTTTTAAATGATATTCAATAATAATAAAACTTTAGCTACATGTTGTTTTTTATCTGTTCAGATTATAGAGCATATCAAATTGTCTTTAATAGGACAGTTTGTCCTGTTTTACAAAAATGAGCTCAAAGAAAAATAATATAAACTTTTCTATTTTGGTATTAAGTTATTATGGTGTGTATCTGTTACATGGATTTACCTGGCTGTATTTTCTCGAGGATTCAATTTAAAAACAGAAATAGCTGTTTTATAGACAGTTCAATACGCTTCATAATACGAACGGATAAAAATAATAGTTAGTAAAAAATTTATTATTTTTGAAAATAGGTTTCTAGAAAACCATCGCATGAAAGTCTAAGGGACTTTTCACACTCATATTCGGAATCTCTAATCGAATAGCTTATATCAAAAAATTCGATTGGAAAGTTCGCAACGTTCTCTCGTCAGATGTATCTATACACTTCAAATATATTTTATAAAAACTAATTAAATTGGATATTTATTTATTACACTTACAGCAAAGAACAGGGAACCTTTGAATACGACTGTTACTGCAATCATTGACAATAAGTGCTCCAGTTGAATCAAGTCTAATACTGCAAGGATAATATAGTTGAGATGGTAATACTCCGTGAGTATTTGAACCAGCAATGAGTATACCCGATGTAGATCCTAATAACCATAAAACGATTCGATGATTTCCATAGTCCACAATGTACAATGATTTATTCGTGTCCATAGTCAAAGCAAGTGCATAATTAAGTTGATTAAGTGCACTGCCATACGTGCCTGATTGTCCGGCAACCGTTGTTCCATTGCTTGCTCCATAAAGCCATTTTTGGATTCTATAATTATAACAGTCTGCTACATAAAATGTATTCGAATCAGATGTGTCAACGAATAATCCGGTTGGAAAATTAAATTGATTAGCTTGTGAACCTTTAGCGCCGCCTGCAATAAGTATTCCAGTCGATGTATTTATCCATTTGACAATCCTATTATTATTTGAATCAGCTATCCAAATATAGGATGTATTTGGCTCAACGAATACGTCGTAAGGAGCATTTAGTTGGTTGAGAGAACTGCCCTTTCCGTTCCCACCGGCTACAACTATACCCGTTGATGCTCCTGGTGCCCATTTTGTAATACGATAGTTTCCTGCGTCAGCTATATAAATATTACCACTCACATCTATGTTGAGACCTTTGACTAAATTAAAGAAAACATTAGTTATATATAAATTATCTTCGATTATTTACCGCTAGAGAACTGATTGAGACCTGTGCCTTTGGTGGTGTTAATAATTATAGTTCCCAATTGACTACCTGGATAAAAAAGTTGCATACGATAGTATGTAGTACTATAATCTATGACATAAATCGAATCATTTGTATCAACAATGATGCCTACTGGATAGTTTAACGATGTTGAAGTGAAACCTCGGATACCAATAGGTGAACCAGCAATTGTTGTTGCATTCGATGCCCAAACAGTCAT